CATTCCTGGTGTCCAGGGCATAAAGGTAAGTGTTTTTCTCCCAGTTTTACATTAATTTCATCTTTTATTAGAAGTGCCTTTCTTATGAGTGATCATTACCAAAGGAAACTCTTTTTCTAAATACATCATTGTTATTACAGAATAGTCAGTGTATTTTGGAAGGCCCATTCTTTAGAAAAACAAGCATTTGTCACAGAGGGGAGAGAATGGCTAAATGGAAAAAAACATAGATATTGATGAAGCTTCCATTATGATTTATAGGACACAATAGTACTGTCCATGATTCTATATTTACTTATAGCAATTGCTACATATATAAGGTCTATTGTTGTGTCTCCTTTAAGAACCCTGGGTCGATGGAACCAATTCATTGGTCATTGGTTAGCCTTAGCCTTTAAGAATTATCTGAGCTAACCAAGCTGTCTGGGTTCTCTCCACATTCAACTGGGGGTCTGAGTCATTAATTCACCTCTCTACACCTGCCTTTGAGTGTAGCTAAATTACATATTGGTTAGCTAAATTAAATATGCTTAAATAAAATTAAGTATAGCTAGCTAAATTAAATACAGAAATTTTAGATGGCGAAAGATTAGTTGGATCCTACTTGTACGGTACAGGTTGAAAATGATTTCATCTTTTCAGATGAACCTATGTTTATTCGTCTTGCATACTGAGTTCTCAGAAAGACCATTGTGGCAGCCTTACATCTATCAAACACTGCTATAGGTGCGGTTGTGCTGAAATTCTTCATTGCTGAATAATTGCTTGGTGAACACTCTGTAAAACTTCATATTGATGTTTAACTTTTCTGGATAGTTATCCTTATTTTCAAAGTGTAGGCATGTAGGATTTTTTGACAGTCACATGTCTTTAAGGAGTCCCAGGTTGACAAGATTATAGGCAATATTGTTCTTTGGGGGTTTTTTTGGAAATTCAGGCACACATCTTTTTGCAGAAGCTGTAATTAATATGGCATTAAGTATTTTATCCTAGAGATTTTCTTCTATAACATGAGAGCATTCTACTAAAAATCTTCTGTGTGATTGAAATGTCTCAGTTTTGCCTAGAAAAAAACCCTAGAATATTTCTTGTTTTAAAATACTGTCTTATTTTTATCTTACTGTAACTCACTGGAGTGTGAACTGAGTCTTTTGAGGAAAAATCAGCTATGCTTTGTCCATAGAATGGTATTTAAAAACCTGAAAATCAGAAGTAATTAAAAATAATTATTTTTTTGTCTTTTGGGTAACTACAAAGAACTTAAAATCTATGTTTTCTAGATAATGTTTTTTTCAGGACGGCACTTTTCTTCTATGTAACTTAATCAAGAAACAGAGAGAGATCAAGAATTTATACTTTATGCATATTATTAGGCAAATTTATGTGAAGGGAACACTACATGTTTGGAACAGCTGGGGAAAAACATCCACTGTAATCTCCAATAACATGATTTGAGGAGAATTTCAGGGTTGAACATATGTCACCTCTGATGGTTGCAAATTGGTCAGATTAGTTCCATTGCTGTAAATCAATTAATTCTGATTGTAACTGAAGCTCTTACTTGCATCCCTTGCATGTTTAGTCTAAATTTTAATTAAGATTTCTTTATTCTGGATACTTTTGAAGCAATATTATGTGCATCTTGAAAATTAAATGTTTTATTGCTTTGCAAAATAATGAGGACTGTTACTACTTTTATTATTTTATTGTATTTTTATGGGAAAACATGGCAAAGTATTTTTTACAGTGAGTTTCTTAATAGGCATATATGAGTAGAAGACTTATTTTAATGTTATATTACTTCTCTGGAGAAATATAAGGATTCTGATGTCATGTAACAGATTTGTTTCCTTAGCATATAGTTTGCTGTAACTAACAAGCTTTACCTGCAACTATTCGAACTAGACATTTATTAAAGCAACAAGCTGTTGAGGCTAAAAATGTTGCTATTCAGTTTCAATATCTAAGGGCCTTGTGAGGTGTATGTACCAGGACACTAATACTGATTTTAAGAAGGGAGATTATGTTAAAGTTTATGGAACCTCTCTAAATTTGAAACTGGAGAAGCTTTTGCAAAAATTATTACTCATTTTACATGAAGATGCAAGACAGAATATATGTTTATGGTTAACTGGAGTTACGAGTCATAAGTATGCCTAACTCTTGAATTATTCAGGGAAGAAAGCGTAGCTTAGGCATCTAACAGTAAAAGTGAAGCCTTTCAGGTATAGCTTTTTTAAAAAACTTGAAATCAAACAAAGTAGTTTGCTTTCAAGGGTAGTATAACCAAATACAGATGGCATAAATACCCTCTTACATTCTGGGATTTTTGATCAATAAAATATATTTCATGACCAAAATCTTCTCTTTACTACTTGTTTAGCATTTAACTGATACTCTCTTTTTCAAAAAAAACAACTAAACACACACATTTGGCTCTTACCAGAGAACCGGCAAAACAGATCTAAGAAACTCCATCCTAATTCTTTTATTAAATGCAGTTTTGCACACCCCCTACAGTTCTGTCTTTTGTTTCATGAGTTGCTGTGCTCTTGGCCCAACACTTTGATTCATGTCTATTGAAATAAAGTCACAATGGTTTAAGGGATCAGAGTTAGGGCAGGAGTCATCTCCTGTAAGTTTAAGTTTTCTTTTCAGTCAATGAGGAGAAATAGGCAAACTCTGGGAGTACATATATTATGCCTCTGTCAGTTGGCATGAATAGTTTTCAAGAGCTGCCTGATTCTCTCCAGTGTCAATTGAATGGCGTTCAGGTAACTTGATAAACTTAGATACCTGCCTTTTAAGTACCATTTGTGCCATCTGAATGCCAGTCATCCCACTAATGTTTATTTGCTATAAGCATTTCAATGGAAGTCAAAAGGAGCGGGTAGAAGAGGAACTTAGGCCTTACATAGTTTTGATTAGGTTTAAATTTAATTTTTTTTCTGATTAAAAAATATTTTTTTCTTTGATGTATTATGTGTAAGTTCTGCATTTAATGGGTTTATAGGAAGTGTTACAGAAATTGTTTATGCTCTATTCTCTGCAGGTGAAAGCAAGCATACTTAGTGGTTAGCACTCACTGGAAATTTAACTCACCAGAAATACTGCCCCTCTCCTCTCCACTCCCATATACTGACCAGATAAAGTCCTGCTGGATTTGCCACCTCATTATAGTGTATTTTTAAATTGTAACTTGGTGTATGAGTATTCACTTTTCTTTATGAGAGTTCTTTCTATGACAAATTCCCTTCTTAGTATAACATTTTCTACTATTCTCAGTGTTTGTGCACAGGAGGATAAAATTGGTACAAATAAAAGCTATTAGATTCTTTTTTTGTATTTACTGTATTAAAGACCACATGTCTTTGACATGAATCAAGGTACAATGGAGACTTTTTTTCTAATATTTTACAGGGGGACAAAGGAAACCAAGGTGAAAGTGGTATCCAGGTATATCAACTTTTTGGTTTTTAATTAAATCATCTGGCAACACTATAAATACAAGTCTTGGGTGTTAATTCATGAACAATTTTTTAAGATGAAGTTCAACAGAAGGTTTGCTTGAAGAACAGCAGCAGGGAGCCCTAACTTTTCTTCAAGGAAAACTGCCCAGTATGTCCAGTATGAATTTCCAGCTGTGTTTCTAGGGCTGAGCAGGGTACTGACATTTGATGCAGAGCAACGAGGTCCTAGGAGTGACATTGGCTTGGGTGTGTGGGTTGTGCTGCTACCCCAGGGGGCTGGGACACGACGCAGGGCTGCTGTAGAATAGAATAGTAGAATCAGACAATGCATTAGGTTGGAAACAACCTTTAAAAGGTCATCTCGTCCAACCTCCTCACAGTGAGCAGGAACATCTTTAACTAGATCAGGTTGCACAGAGCCTGATCAAGCCTGACCGTGAATGTCTCCAGAAATGGGGCCTCCACCACCTCTCTGGGCAACCTGTTCCTGTGTGTTTCATCACCCTCGTAGTCCTGGGCTGGGTCCTGTCCTTGCCTGCCCCTAGCTCTAGGGGATCACATCAATGCTTCTTGTCAAAGTAACTTCACTCGGCCTCTGCCTAGATACTATATTATAACAAATAACTGCTGTCTAAAAGGCATGAAAATACCTATAAGAAAAAAGAGTGTCATGTCAGATGATAATCTGACTTCTCTGTGTTCAGAGTAGAAATTGTATCCTTCTGCACAGTTTCTGCTCTGAGCTGTGGAAAAGTAACTTTTCAGACTGATTGGACATGGTTTAAAATGAGAATTTAGGGATTACCTCTTATTTTTAATAGTTTAATTACATCTCCCACATAAATATATTTTTTAAGAAAATATGCTTCTTTTCTCAAGGGACTGAAAGGAGAAAAAGGAAGACAAGGAAATCCAGGCTTACAGGTACTGTTAAAATAGTGATCCTGCTTCAAGAGAGCTAGGGTTCATATTTGTTTCTTAAGATTAGTTCCATCAACATATGTAGAGAAGGTGTAGCCTTGTTTTTCTTGTCTGTGCACAGTGGAAGGGCAAGAAATAGACGTAAGTTGCAATGCGGGAAATCCTGACTTGATATAAAGGAAAAGCATTTTGCTTTGAGAGTGGTCAAACACTGGAACGTATATATTGAGAAACAGACCAGAACTACTTTTTTCTGGCTTATTTTAGTAAATCCTTAATTATAGAAATTTTTTTATGAAAGAATTATCAATAATATGAAGTGCAGATAACAGCACAAACTGGCTTTTCTGTAAAAGTTATAAGAGTGATGCTTGAGATGTTGAGATTTTACATGTACCATACTACACTTTCCTGCACCTCCTAAACTGTACCAGAGTCATTATTGATATCTTCTGTGCTCATAAATTACAGATGTTTCCTGTTTCAGCTGCAAGTCAGTGAGATCCAGTTGTTTCTCTTTAACTCTGGCCCAATGTATTCTGATTGTGTCATAGTTGGCTATCTTGTTATACCACAGAAAATAACTGTTAGTATTTATAAATACTTGTTAACTACATAATCTCTGTTGTGTCTAAACAGAGAAGTATTTGTTAGAGGTACATATCTAAAACTGGATTTGGAAGGAAGTCTCAATTGCTTTTTTCGGAATTACAACATCGATACAGCTGCCTGTCTAGCCAGAAAGAGTTGATTCCAGTGGAGCATGGGCAGGAGATGCAGGTTGTATGTTAGCCCAGTTTTATCACTCTCAGGAGTATGTAGGTTGACAGGAGTCTGCTGGTAAAGCTAAGCAGATAATTTTGAAAGGAAGTAGTTTAAAATAAAACTCTGAGCATTGGTTCTAACCCAAAGTGGTGTCTAACACTTTACAAATTAAACTTTTTTCTTTTTTCTTTTTTCTTTTTTTCTTTTTTCTTTTTTTCTTTTTTCTTTTTTCTTTTTTCTTTTTTCTTTTTTCTTTTTTCTTCTTTTTTCTTCTTTTTTTCTTTTTTCTTTTTTTTTCTTTTTTCTTTTTTTGAGAAAGCTGAAAAAATAGTACAGGCTTAGTCTAAAATTGTTTCCCATGTTTACCTAGTTTGGTCAGCAACCAAAAAATCCATCAGCCAAATACTGGTAGACAGTGCTGAGTCCTTCCAAGGTTTCTCAAGCCTCCAGGACTTCTCAAAGATGCAGTACAGATTCCCTTGTCGGTAAAAGTGTATCAGAAAAGTGAAAAAGCCTGTGCTGAACTGCCATCTTGCCATGGAATTTAATGATCAGTAGCTATGCTGAATAATTTGGCAGAAAGGACACCAAAATCATTTGCCGACATGCAAAGTATGACTTACAAACTGAGTTTGTGTTTCAAAGGCTCTGAACTTGATTTCTGCCTAGTAAGACAGTTAAACAGGTAGGAACAGGAGTTTCCTTTTGCTAGAACACAAAATTTTATTTCCTTTTTATTTGGTAAAGTGAATAAGGTTTTGCCTATATGTCTATATTATGTCTATTTTTTATAAAATGTATGATATACTTCCAGCTTGTCCTTTTGGCATATGATATTAAAAGTAATAAAAATGTTAATTCACCATGCTGTGGTTTTTTCATCCTTATATACAGTTTGGGTTCTTTTGTACAAATAGCAATCACAGAATCTTTAAAAAATGACATTTGTGATTAATTATTGAAAACAAAGGAGAAAAATATTACTTTTTTATTCCAAGTAATTTTGCTCAATTTGCTTTTTTAATGTTTTTTTTTATATTAATTCTTAAAGGGAGTAGAAGGATTGAGTGGAGAACAAGGAGAGGTAAGTATTTTTAAATTAAAAATACAGTATCACAAAATTATTACATTAGTTTCTGCAAATTATGTGATCTGTAAAATGTGTGTTTATGGTTTTATTTCCTTACTCACATCTCTATAAGCAACAGAAGAAAAATGAATTGAGAAATATCAGAGAAGAAAAAGAAGTATTATTTAAAAGAGATATAGTGAAATATATATTTCATTCAATGGGAGATTTAAAAAAATGAAGCCAAGTATATATTTTAAGAGAATTAAACAAGCAATCAACAACAAAAAACATTATAAAGAGATGGTTGAAAAAAGCAAATACTTAAAGAAAAAAACTGGAGATTCAACTTTAAGATTTATTTGTTGATTCCAATATTTAGTGAAATCAGGATACAGTGTCCCATTATTATAATTATCCTTCAATTTTAGTTAGAGATTTCTTTGTTCAGCCATTTTTCATTAAAGCATTGTTGCATATCAATAACTAAACATGTTCACTGGAAGCTTAATTCTCATAATTAGATAATTTTATGGATTTAAACATATAAATTGTCCTATATGCCTCTGTGATTCTATGAAATACTTAAAATTACAGTTGGGCTTATAGGCGTTTTGCTAAATCATTGCCAAAATTGGTAGTAGATTCCTTGTATACTATTGAACTAGCATCTTTAAATATTGTAAATGATGATAATAATACATTTCTTCTGAAAAATACATTTAATAATAATCTTGCTATACACTAAGATATAATTATGTCATTGTGTTTACTTATTAGACTTACAAAGTTAGTATATTTTCTATTTTTATAAAATATATTGTCCTTTGTTAGACTCTGACTCCTTAATAAGAAGTTTCTTCAGTCCATAATTCTCAGCACTTACTGAGCTCTTTTCCTTTTTTTGATTTCCTTTGCCAATGGTATGGGTCAACAAACAAGGCCACATATGGGAAGTGGCTGAGCATTACAAGACCAAGATATACTGCAGAAACTTTCCCTCGGCAGCCTCATCTGCTTTTTGGCAAGTTCTGCAAGCAGTGGTACCCATGCTTCCAGCTCTTTGTCTTGTTTTTTTAATACTGGCTTCTTGCCTGTAATGTTTTTCTATAATGGTTGCCATTGTCTCAATATTTCACTGGTACTTACTGCTTTCCAGGCCCTTTAACATATATTCTGGTTAGCTTAGTCGACTTGAGCATGGTGCTGATAACACCAAGGTCATGGGTTCAATCCCCGTTCGGTCCCCATGTGTTGCCTGATCTAGTTGAGAGGTGTCCCCGCCCATGACAGGGAGGTTGGATTAAATGATCTCTAAGGTCCCTTCCAGCCTAGGCGCTTCTATGATTCTATGATTTAAGTCAGATGTCTTTTATGTAAACATAGTCCATAGCTCTAAAAGTAATTAAAATTAAAACTTCTAGCTACAAGAACAGCAAGATTTTCAGCTCCCAGAACATATATCTTCTAGTATAACCATAGGCAGCCACATATACTCCACAAATTTGTCTCTGAGCCTTGCTGACCCTGTTAAATAAATAAAAAAATATTGTAATTATATAATAGAAATGAACAAGTACAAATCTCTATAAGTGTAACTAAGAGTTTCAATTCTCTGTGACTGCAACATTCAAGCTGACAGCATCAAATAAATATAAGACAACTACAACCTCGGAAGAAGTCAGTTCTGATTTAGTGTATAACTTTTGTAGTGGGAAGAGAGTATGGACTGCTGTTCAATTCATGCATCTTACTGGTGGACCATTTTCCAGCACTACTCTTAGACACTTCACTGCCATCTGTCACTTTTGTCTCATTTCTCTTGTTTGTTTTTTTTGAAGGGCAAAAACTACCTGCTTTATTGTAGTGGCTAGCTGTCTGCATAAAACTGAGCAATCCAATGTTAAATTTGAAGCTTGCTACCTGTAATAATTCATATGTAGAACTTGGGGCATTGTCACTAATTCAGACCAAGCCAGAAATCATTGAGTTTTTCTGGTATAAAGGATTTGGATAAGTGCTATAAGGAATGATACAAAGTCATGTAAATACCATAATTTAAAATTCAATGTAAGCTTATGAAGACTAGATGCCTGAGTGCTTCTTAAACTTGCATTATTTGTTCCAGTGAGTTTTGTTGTATATAGTAATCCTACTGCCTTGTTTCCATAATTCCATTTAAAATAGTTGGAAAGGGGGAAAAAAATTTTGAAGCAGCTGATAACCTTATGCAGAAGCTGTGTAAAAATGGAAGGAAAAAACTCATCAGGGAGCAAACATAGCATAATAACTTTAATCTTAGGCATGTACCATATTACACTGCACTGATGTTTTGTTGGCTTCAGCGCTGTGAAAGAGTTCCATGTGAACTATTGCAGTAGGTAATTCCATACGTAGAAGAACCATTGCTCTGATGAAGATATATCAAAATATTTTCCAGTATTATTTTAACCTTTTCCAGTGAAGCAAATGGAGTACAGTTGTTATCAGTCATATGGAGAATAAATTAAGTCAGAAAAAACCCCGACAAAAATACCCTAACTGAAATCAAACTGTTTTTTTCTTATGTCTTACAGTCTACAGACATAGGGTAAAAGTCTTGATTATTATAGTAAGTTTGCCAAGAACTTCACTGAAGCCAGAATTTCAGTTCTAATTTTTCCAGCTTTATAAGGATTTTAGTGTACTGCAACAAATTATCTAATTCTCATGAAAAAGTGAATAAATCCTTTCATTCCAGATATTAATAAGAAAGACTATTTTGTTTTATATTAATTAGTAAAACAGGTCCTTGAATTGAAAAAATATAATGGTAATTTGTTTCTGGTTTTATTTATTAACTAAATATATCTAGTATCTACTGGTTAGCTCAGCCAGTAGAGCATAGTGCTAACAAGGCTAAGGTCACGAGTTCGATTCCTGTTCGGTCCCCATGTGTTGCCTGATCTAGTTGAGAGGTGGCCTCCCTGGCGGTAGGGAGGCTGGATTAAAATGATCTCTAAGGTCCCTTCCAGCCTAGACCATTCTGTGATTCTATGAAACAGTTACTAAATAGTCTGAGAACTTTAGTTAAATAAAATTTTAGTTAAATAGATCTCATCACTATCAAGCTTATATTAATTTTATGAAGATCAGTGAAGATTTTCTCGGAGTGTATTTGCTTGGTACTACCCAGCTTCCAAATGGACTGTAAAGATACAATTGGCTTTTCATTGATGTTCTGTTTCAGAAAGGTGAGAAAGGAGATCCAGGCATTCGAGGCATCAATGGGCAAAAAGGAGAAGCCGGTATCCAGGGTTTGGTTGGACCTCCTGGTCTAAGAGGTCAGCCAGGAGATCGCGGACCCCCAGGACCACCTGGATCAGATGGAAAACCTGTATGTATAGGACCTCAAACTTGTCGTTATGAGTACCTTAAAAAAACCCTCAAAATACATGCTGTCTGTTTTTTAAATTGTTCTCTGTTCAATTCAGGCACGAGAATTTTCAGAAGAATTTATTCGACAGGTTTGTTCAGATGTGCTGAGAAGTAAGTTTGAAAGACTCTTTACTGCTCTTTCCTTAATTAAAGTGCCAAAGTATCCTGATAATTGTAAAGCCGGTTTATTGAAAGAAAGGCTGATATTTTATTTATCACTTGTTTTCCTACAAGGAACGTATTTCCACAACACAAGTTCCATACTTTGCCATTTAATATCCTAAAGGTATCATGCGTTCTCTAAAGAGGGGAAAGTGGTTTTGTATTAGTGGCTAGGGAGCAATATTTTTACGTTGTATTAGTCCAACACTCTAAGCAATTTTGTGTTTGAATTCTCCCAGCCCAGTTGCCTGTCATCCTCCAGAGTGGAAGGCTGCAAAACTGTAACCACTGTCATTCTCAAAGTGCTTCACCGGGACTTCCAGGACCACCAGGTCCAAGAGGTCCTGAAGGCCCACGAGGGTTTCCTGGCTTACCAGGAAATGATGGCATTCCAGGGCTCACAGGCATCCCGGGTCGCCCTGGGGCTCGTGGGACAAGAGGTACTGGTGCTAATGTTCTTCACGACTTCACTTTCTGCTTCCAGTTTTGAATGAGTTTACAGGCAGAGTAAGGGAATAGCTGGGTTTGTATCGCAAACTGCAGTTGAGGACATGGTGCAACGTGAATGTTTCACCGCCTATGAAGAATGAGTGTCAGAAGAAGAGAAAGTACAAGAACACAAGGAGATAGCTGGTATTCAGTTCTACTGTCAAAACTTTGTTTTGGTCTTTTTAGAGAGTTCTTGGTCTCAAGTAAATATTTTTAAGCTGCATTTAGATTATTTCTTTAAATCAAATAAACTTAGACGTTCATTTCAACGTATTTCCATGTTTTCTGGTTTCTTTCCTTCCAAACTTCATTTCTGCTGTTTTAAAGAACAATATTTGCTCAGTGGCTATTTACTGTCTGCTACCCTGTAGACTGATTTTTGGCGTGCAATAACCTTTATATTCCCTCTGATTTCCTGGGGTTTTCTTCTCTTGTTCTTCTTACTACTTTCTTTATGCTTTTCTTAAACATTCTAGTTTCTTTTTAGACAAGCTAATGTTTATGCTTTCAGGTAACTCATCCATCTGAGTGTTCCAACTGATTTCTGTGATGTATTTGCAGATTTTAAGTACGCATATATATTCTAGAACTAGACCAGGAGACTGGGTAAAGTCTGTAATTTTGGTAACTGGTCCCAGCAGCGCCTGTGTTAGCTATAGCATCAAAACAATCAGGAAAGCTATATGAAATACAGCTAACTAGTAATGTGCCAAGGGCAGACAGGCAAATAGTTGATAAACATTTACTTTCTTTTTGACTTGCTAACTGTGTGTCCAATTAATTTGGGATGTGATGATAATTTATCTGTAGCACGTTTATAACTTCATCTGCAGTAGCAGAATGTGCAGTTTTCCTCTGGAGCTGACACTAACAGTTCTGGTTATTCCTTAAGAGTTGGACAAACAGGTATCTATTTGTATGAAGAAACTGAATTTATTGGGTTGTACTAGTGCAAGAGAGCACATATTTTGTCCCTCTCAGTATTTCTTTGGTGGAGATTTAATTCTACCATATGTTGTTGAAGATTGTCTATACATTCTGTATTCCACAAGGACTGTGGTGAATACCTTACACTTCCTTCATACAACTTCTTAAAATCTTTGAAAATGGAAAGGCAATGACAGCAAATTTCATTGACCATCATCTCATAGTGGCTGTCTGCTTAACAGGTGCTACATCAGCTCTTAATTCAGTAGAAATTAGGATAATTTAGAACGCAGTTACACTGTGCAGGATACAAGGGAGTGCATATTTTACATCTCATTATTTGTTTTTTAGCTATTACATGTTTTTATTCAATAAGTATTATCAAAAGCTGACTTCCTAATTCATTGGATCAAAATATTCTTAGTGTGGAAAGATATTCATGTGTTTGCTAATTCACAGGACTGCCAGGGAAAAACGGTGCAAAAGGCAATCAAGGAATTGGGGCTCCTGGGATCCAAGGTCCCCCAGGACCTCCAGGTGAGGGATGGTTCAGCTTTGCAGAGTCAGTGCATGCTAGTAATTTTCTTTAAAAGTGTGTTTTTTCAAAACTATTGATATAGTTTGGAAAACCTTAGTTTTTACACGCTTAATTGCTATATATGTTTTATGGCTAGTGCATCTCTCTTGCATGCCTTTTAAATTGTCATGTAATACAGTATTTAATATGTGACAGGTTTTGTATAGATAGGCACCTGAGACTGCTGTTTCTTGACAGATGTATCTTGAAGTCAGCCATTACCTGAAAACTGAGACTTATAAGCATTGCTTAATAGATGAAAATGTTCTTCCTAACAGTGGTGTATTCATGCAAAATCCAAAGCTGAGCATTTGGAAGAGATACTATTCACACCATGGTGGTTCCAGATTATACAATAAAATGTAACACTATATTGAAGTAGATTTTTATATTTTCTTTTAAAAGTTATTTCTATTTAAAGCGTTTTCCACATACTTAAAAAAAGTCTTAGTAAGTGATCATGTGTTTTATAGAAACATCTAAGCAGTTTGTGACAAGTAGTTTCTTTTTCAGAAAAAGAAGTTTCATTATCTGTGTAATTCACCAAAGATCAGAGGGTTTGTGAGTCCATACTTGCTCTTGTTTTCATTTTAAGAAAAATATTGTTTAATGTGTTTGTTCATTGTGTGTATATCATTAAGGTCCTGAAGGTCCACCGGGTATGAGCAAGGAAGGACGTCCTGGAGAGCGTGGGCAGCCTGGTAAAGATGGAGATCGTGGCAGTCTGGAATGCCAGGACCAGTTGGACCCCCTGGAATTTGTGACCCATCACTATGTTTTAGTGTAATTGTAGGGAGAGATCCATTTAGAAAGGGACCAAATTATTAACTTGTGATACAATCATTTAGAGGAGTAGGTATGGTGCTTGTCTTTTATGGTCTTTCAAGTCTCAGGAAGGTGACCAGCAATAATCTCCTAAGCAAGAACAAAAGTACCTCTGACATTAAAAACACTACAAATAATCATCCCAAAGATTATATGTTCCTTTGGAAAAGAAACTCCAATAATTTTTTTATAACTTGTATCAATTGAATCTTACGTGTTTTTAAAGAGACCATCAGTGAATTGGAGTAAAATTAATTAAAATATTTGATATTTAGTATTTAAGTGTCATCCTCCCGTTAACACTGAAATCCTTTGCAAAATTGCTGGAAATGTTACTGGGAGCAGGATTAGGCCTTAAATGGTATTGGTCAGGTATAAATTACTGTGAAAATTTTCAGATGCAGCCAACATATACAGTATTTGATTTTGAAAGAATGTGGCTGGCTTTGATTTTATGTGTATGTGAATCTCATTGACTTGTGTACATTTCATAAGTCTTAACTCCAAGTGTTCTGTCAGTGAAAGCATATATCAGATTTTTATAAATTAAGAGAAATATCTGGACTTGTTATGGAAGTAATATAACCTATTTTGCCATGCAACTCTTTCCTTAAAACCAAGGTGAAATGCAAGGGTAGAACTACTGGTTCAAGGAGGGCCATGGTTTTATTGAAGATGGTACTATCACCTACAAAAGGTCAAAAGGTTCCATGTGGGTGATTCAACTCATATGTAAATGGCAAACTGAAGAAGCAAGGCTTCCAAGGAGAGAGCTCTAACTGCTGGCTGACTAGCTGTAATATGTTTTACACTGTTTCCTCTTTCATTTTAAGCAAGCTATGTCTAATTTTCATTGTATGCTTTCCTAATCAGGTGTATTGCTTGCTTTTACATAAAGAGTAAAAGCACAGTTCCCCTGAGAATTTCAAATCTATTTCTTAAATTAAGGCAGTCTTGTATTGATCTTAACTGATGCTTTATAAGTGGCTTTTTCTAATGTGTTGTTTTTTTGTCATCCTACTATCAGAGAATGGTAATATGCTTGACATTCAAGGTAAAATAAAATTTTGTAAAGAACTGGTGGTGGTTTGACACGTATTGCAAGAGTCACCCGTGTCCCAGAAAGCAGAGATGCCTGTAATACATGGAGGGATCATAGAATCTTCATAGAATGTTGGGGGTTGGAAGTGACCTCTAGAGATCATCTAGTCCAACCCCCCTGCCAGAGCAGGATCACCTGGGGCAGCCACACAGGAACGCGTGCAGAAGGGTTTTGAAAGTCTCCAGAGAAGGAGGCTCCACAACCTCTCTGGGCAGCCTGT